ATTCTCCGACATTGTGACTTTTTTTTTTTACATTTTGAAGATATTTATAATATTGTGATAACGTTTATAATGATAATAGTGTTTGACATTGTGAAATTTTTAACATTATAACATTTTCCTACATTTGGCAATGACATTGTCATTATTTACAACATTGACATTGTCACATTTTTCGACATTGTGACATTTTCTCGCATTTCGACAATGTTTATACTTTCCGACATTGTTCGTTGTGACAATGTATATAGTGGTAATTCTACATTGTGACATTTTTTGACATACTACGTACAACATTTTCTAAATTTTGGTAATGACATTGTCACGACATCATTGACATTATCTTTATTACAATGTCATTTTTCATAATATGACATTGTCATTGTCACAATTTTTGACATTGTGACATTTATTCATATATTTTGACAATGTTTACGATATTCTAACATTGTTTGTTGTGACAATCTTTATAATGGCAACAATTGACATTTTTACATTGTAACATTTTTATAGATTTTGGCCATGATTTTATGGTGACATTATTTGTTTTGACAATATTTATAATTGTGATATTATTCATTGGCAACAACATTATTGAAATTATTTTTAAAATTGTGACATTTTCATAACATTTTCATTGTTTTTGAAAAATAATAACAATATACGGAGGTACTCCGTATTACATTATCATATACGGAGTACTTCGTATGATGACATTAAATTAATAATCATGTAAAAATATGAAATTTCCAAAAATCCTTTTAATTTGATGAATCTGCAAAATTAAACAAAACAATAAAAGGAAAAGTGATACGCATAACTACACTATGAAATCAAAGTAAAAATTAATAAAAAATGTTCAAAGAGAACTAGTAATAAAAGAGAACCAGAGAAGGAAGACAGGGCTCGTCGGCGAAGCCCAGAAAAAGAAGCAAAGCAGCAGCCGACTTAGAAAAAAAAAAGAGGGGGAGGGGAGGAGGAGGAGGAGGAGGAGGAGGAGGAGGAGGAGGAGGAGGAGGAGGAGGAGGAGGAGGAGGAGGAGGAGGAGGAGGAGGAGGAGGAGGAGGAGGAGGAGGAGGAGGAGGAGGAGGAGGAGGAGGAGGAGGAGGAGGAGGAGGAGGAGGAGGAGGAGGAGGAGGAGGAGGAGGAGGAGGAGGAGGAGGAGGAGGAGGAGGAGGAGGAGGAGGAGGAGGAGGAGGAGGAGGAGGAGGAGGAGGAGGAGGAGGAGGAGGAGGAGGAGGAGGAGGAGGAGGAGGAGGAGGAGGAGGAGGAGGAGGAGGAGGAGGAGGAGGAGGAGGAGGAGGAGGAGGAGGAGGAGGAGGAGGAGGAGGAGGAGGAGGAGGAGGAGGAGGAGGAGGAGGAGGAGGAGGAGGAGGAGGAGGAGGAGGAGGAGGAGGAGGAGGAGGAGGAGGAGGAGGAGGAGGAGGAGGAGGAGGAGGAGGAGGAGGAGGAGGAGGAGGAGGAGGAGGAGGAGGAGGAGGAGGAGGAGGAGGAGGAGGAGGAGGAGGAGGAGGAGGAGGAGGAGGAGGAGGAGGAGGAGGAGGAGGAGGAGGAGGAGGAGGAGGAGGAGGAGGAGGAGGAGGAGGAGGAGGAGGAGGAGGAGGAGGAGGAGGAGGAGGAGGAGGAGGAGGAGGAGGAGGAGGAGGAGGAGGAGGAGGAGGAGGAGGAGGAGGAGGAGGAGGAGGAGGAGGAGGAGGAGGAGGAGGAGGAGGAGGAGGAGGAGGAGGAGGAGGAGGAGGAGGAGGAGGAGGAGGAGGAGGAGGAGGAGGAGGAGGAGGAGGAGGAGGAGGAGGAGGAGGAGGAGGAGGAGGAGGAGGAGGAGGAGGAGGAGGAGGAGGAGGAGGAGGAGGAGGAGGAGGAGGAGGAGGAGGAGGAGGAGGAGGAGGAGGAGGAGGAGGAGGAGGAGGAGGAGGAGGAGGAGGAGGAGGAGGAGGAGGAGGAGGAGGAGGAGGAGGAGGAGGAGGAGGAGGAGGAGGAGGAGGAGGAGGAGGAGGAGGAGGAGGAGGAGGAGGAGGAGGAGGAGGAGGAGGAGGAGGAGGAGGAGGAGGAGGAGGAGGAGGAGGAGGAGGAGGAGGAGGAGGAGGAGGAGGAGGAGGAGGAGGAGGAGGAGGAGGAGGAGGAGGAGGAGGAGGAGGAGGAGGAGGAGGAGGAGGAGGAGGAGGAGGAGGAGGAGGAGGAGGAGGAGGAGGAGGAGGAGGAGGAGGAGGAGGAGGAGGAGGAGGAGGAGGAGGAGGAGGAGGAGGAGGAGGAGGAGGAGGAGGAGGAGGAGGAGGAGGAGGAGGAGGAGGAGGAGGAGGAGGAGGAGGAGGAGGAGGAGGAGGAGGAGGAGGAGGAGGAGGAGGAGGAGGAGGAGGAGGAGGAGGAGGAGGAGGAGGAGGAGGAGGAGGAGGAGGAGGAGGAGGAGGAGGAGGAGGAGGAGGAGGAGGAGGAGGAGGAGGAGGAGGAGGAGGAGGAGGAGGAGGAGGAGGAGGAGGAGGAGGAGGAGGAGGAGGAGGAGGAGGAGGAGGAGGAGGAGGAGGAGGAGGAGGAGGAGGAGGAGGAGGAGGAGGAGGAGGAGGAGGAGGAGGAGGAGGAGGAGGAGGAGGAGGAGGAGGAGGAGGAGGAGGAGAAGAAGATGTGTCCGTCTTGTGGGCGACCACTCGGGTAACAGCTTGCACCGTACCAGCGACTTCCGTCGAGAACCAGCTGCAGACCGGCGGTGAACGCAGCTGCGGTGACTTGCAACCAATGAGAATAAGATTAATCCGGTCCCCAAATGTCTCAGGGTAGTTGCTGGGTAAACTCGTACGGAGGATGGTGCTTGAGAGCAGAGTATGCGGCTGTGTTTGAGAGCAGAGTATGCGGCCAGGGAGCGCCATCTCTAGGGGTATTTTTGTCCCGTCAATTTAGAACAAGTCCTATATAGGCTTTAAAAAGTTGCCAGTTTTATTTACGTTCCCAGCTTTTATTTTAGTCCTATTTGAGTCTATTTCCCTTTATTATTCCTTTGGATATGTTGTCGTGTTTTTCTGTGGCATTAAATAAAGTTCTTGATTTGAGCTGAGATTTAAGTGTCTTGATAAAAAGACAAGTTATCTTACACGTGTAACCTATCCCCTTTTACCCGACACTAAGCTGCATTTATTTTGGATATCAAGATCAACACCAAATCTTAAGTGTGGGGTACTTCATTTAACTTTGGCCGTTGAATAAACTTGCATTGTCAAATTGTCACTAGTTTTAGCATTCCTAGTAGACTAACTTACATCCTCGGTCCTTCAAAAAAAACTTATTTGCTTGGGAAAGCATGTTCACCCTGAAAAGCATTATTGAAGACAAACAAAACATGTTTCAGAGTCACTCTTTCACAATCAGTGTACGGTTGTTCTTGCTTAATTCACAAATGTTTGCGAACATAGAAACTTAAAAAACTTGCCTATCAGCTCTTTTACACCTACAGTGGGAGAAAAGAGTTTAGAATCACGCAGCTATAGCCTATAGCTAAGTTGGAGTTTCCGTGGTCTAACATGTATGCAAAGAATGAAATATCATGATATGCAAGTGAGAATGATATTTAACCAACAAATACGCATTTATAATTCATGTATTTACACCAAATTTAAAAGGTGTTAACCTCATTTCATATCAACACAAACAAAAATTTATACTTAATGTCTATACTTTAAATATAGACTACCCAATTGGGCACTACTTTAAAGTATATACTTTAAATTTATAATTTTAAATAAACAAAACAATTGGGCACTACCCAATTGGGCAACGGGTGTTATAGAACTAGTATATATATACCAATATAAGAGTCAATGTCTATACTTATATTTTTTATTCCATCCTCCACCTCACTACAAATGGTCTTAGCGGGTGAAGATCAACAAAAACTGATTAAACCAGCCAAATTTGTGGGTAAGTCAATTACCACCATTGTCTATTGGACAATGAAACCTTACGATGTAACAAAAAACGAAGTGGAACTTCACAATGCATTAGAGGTAGACCTGCACAAAAGCGGGTTCGGGCCGGGCTCGGGCCGGGCTTTCCATAAGTTTTCTGCCCATCGTGTGTGGGCGGGCCCGGCCCGGCCCGCAAAAACGGGCCTAACCCCATGTCCATACCCGCCCGTAAGAGCGGACCGGGTAGTCCACCGGGCCGCCGGGCCCGGTAAAATTTTAAATTTTTCAAAATTATGTAATTTATTTAATACTTTACAAATAATATTAAAACATTTAAAAAATTGCTAATACGCTTATAATGTATATAGGCCTTTCATCACATACACAAAAAATATTCACACAAAAATAATAATGAGAAACTATATCTAAAATTTTAAATTCAAGCATAAAGTATTATCTTTAAGTACAAAAATAGATATCATATTGGTTGGACTATTTGTTAAGAACTAAAAACTTAAATTTAAACATAATAAACTATAAATATGTACACAGATAAATTAGTAAATATGAAAATATACAAGTGTACATGTAAATAAATACATAAATTAGTATATATAAAAATATATATGTATATATACTAAATGTAGCGGGCCGGGCTTATCGGCCCGAACGGGCCTACACCCTAACCCAAGCCCGCCCATATGTTGTTGCGGGCCGGGTCCGGGCCGGGCCGGTGGGTAAATATATATGTCCAAGCCCGCTAATTTGTGCGGGCGGGCTGGGCGGGCCGGGCGGGCCGGCCCGGTTTTGTACAGGTCTAATTAGAGGTAGGCATTGCTCTGAAATTCCTAAGCTACACTTACCAAGCCTCCTATGGCCACTGATTTATTTCTACTTAGATCATGCCTAGTCAGTCTCGGTCCTTGTAAGGTGTACAATCAGAACCAGTACCAGAACCACTGGTTCTAGACTTGAAATTAGAAACGGTACTGCTAGCTCTAGAATCAGGATCACAGGTCAAATGAACCAACAGTCCTAGGTCCTAAGATTGAACAGCCTAAAAAATGTAGTGGCAATCACAATTTGACTGGAATCAGCCCTGTTGGTCTAGGGAGCGGATCTGGGAACTGCTCTACCACAGAAAGAAACATGTATACATAGAGAGAGAGAGAGAGAGAGAGAGAGAGAGAGAGTCTCATCCTGCTGGAACTTGCAAAACAAACATCAACAGATTGTTTTACATCATATATATGTCTGCCTTCTTAGAAGACACCCACCAACACAAACAAAGAAAAGTAGTTACTTTTTTTCTGCTTTTGCTACCTATGATAATGTCATCATTTACTTCTACTATAGTGCTTAAGAGGACGCACCAAAAACGCGAATGCGTTGTTCAATCGGTACCCGGCAGGACGGACAAATAGCTCTCCCCTTCTTTCCATAGTTTTCATTGCAAGTGGAGCATAAAACCTGGTGAGCACAAGGCAGGAAAACAACAGAAACCTCATCCTTCAAGCAAAGTATGCATTCTCTGTCACTTTTGCTACCTTCCTCCTTTTCTTGAGCATCAAAGTTGTTTAATTCCTGCAGCAAACTGGCAATGTCCCCAGGGGAAGAGTTGACAGAATCATGATTGTTTATGTGCTTATCCGCGGTGGACAACTTGAGGCGGGAAAGTTCTTGTTCCAGACGTTGGAGATCGTCTTTCTGTCTCTCAAAGTCTATTTCTAACTTGAGGCGTAGTGCCTCCAACTTTCTTTTATTAGTAGCTTCGCTCGCTTCTTTAAGCCTTCTTTCTTCCTCTACTTGTGCTATTGCTTCATCTTTTGCCTTCTGTTCCTCCCACCACTTTGCCTGCCACCACAAACAGCATTAGATTAATAAAATACTGACAAAGTTGGTAGCTTACAAAATCAGTTGTCAGCTTTGGCGCACCAAATCACCCTGTTAACAACAGTAACATCGGGTTAAACCCAACCCGAGATTTTATCAAAAATAAGGTTCAGGTCTAGGGTTAAATGGTTTATATGTCATGTTCGACCCGAAATTAAACACACTATGAAACCTTAATTTATATAGAAACTATTTGATGGTTCATAATATTGTTTTGTTACTTGTGCATTGATATGCAAGTGTTGAAGAGATTCTTCTATCATTTTTATCACGCTGTGGCCCATAAAACACGCAATTATGGTAGCCAAAAGCTGAGATTTGTGTGAGAACATCTAATTTTATAAGAGAAAATTATCACAGGTTTGACTAAGAAAAATTCCCAATATATGACCTTATTAAAAGGCCACAACAATACTCATTTAGTACTACCACTGTCCCGCTAAGTTATAAAAGGAGGTGGTACAATTATTAAGAAAAGTGACTATGTGACTGATGTTGAATTGATAAAGTAAGAATAAAATACAAACGATTCAGTGGGACAAACCAAAAAAGAAAGAGGGGACAATCATAGCTCTATGGAGGGAGTAATATTTAAGGGAATCATTTAATAAATAAATAAGTAAATAAATAACTTTTATGGAACATTATGCTCCCAACTTATTATGATTATAACCCATTTTTCTCATTCCATCCATCTCAGCTCCTTCTCAATGTTCCTTCATTCCTAATTGACCAATCTCTCCGCCATGCCCAAGAGTCCCAAGCCATTCAAATTCTCCTGTTTACAAAAAGAATCCCCAACTAGAAAGGTTCGCAAACAATAATCCCAACTAGTTAATTGTTTCTAAACCAGGATTAAACGGTGTTAATTTTTCCATTTAACTTTTTGACGAAATCGACACCAATAGTGATATGAAGCGGGAAGAGCATGGGGCGGGACCGGGCTGTCCTTATAGTTATTTATTATTTTTAAATTAATGTTATGTTTTGTTTTCGGCCTTTTATTAGTAGAGTAGAGTTAGTATGGGCCTAATTAAGGTTTAATTAATTTGGGCTTGATTAGGGTTGCTTGTAGAAGGCTATTTTTACCCCTTGCAAGGGTTCATTCTTATTATCTTGGAATAAAAGTTGGTTTAGCCTTTTGGCTCTGGGCAACGGTATTTATTTATTGTTGATTATCTGGGCAACAATTCACCCCGTTGATTTTTATTTTTCTGTTCTTATCAATTGGTCTGACCTGCCGGATCCCGTCCCGCCAAGATGACAAGATCTCAGAGTGATCGATTGACGGAATTGGAGAACGAACAAGGCCGAACGAGAGAGGTGGCTCGACTAGGGGCTGAGCAAATCCGGATGAACCAGACGCTCGAGGACCACGGAGCGAAGCTAGCAGAGATCACTGCCTCGCTGGCCGTGTTGACGAAGGCGTTGGTGCTGCCTGGTTCGCCGGACGTCACCGCCGTTTCGCCGGACACGCCGTATCTAGAGTCGGCAGTGCCGCAACCTCGACTGGGTGCTGTGCAACCCTACTATGACTTTACTTCCGGCGTTCGATGGGGGAGACCCGATCGGGTGGATCGCTCGGGTGGAGCAACAGTTCGAACTACACGAAACCCTACCGGAGAAGAAGGTGGCTGCCGCTGTGGTGGACATGGAAGGTGGAGCGCTTTACTGGGTAACCAGGCTGAGATCAAGCAAACCAAGTATAGGCTGGGAAAATTTCAAACAAGCCCTGGTGGCTAGATTTGATTCCCGATACCAGGGAAACCGGTTTGAACGACTGCCTGGAGTCAAGCAAGCTGGAACTGTGGAGGATTATAACATTCTTTTTGTCCAACTGGGTTTGTCTGATGAGCACTATTTGGGATATTATACGAGCGGTCTTAAGGAAACAATCTGAAACTCGCTGCGATTACTTCGACCAAACAACCTGGAGATGGCTATGGAATTAGCTCACGACGTGGAGCATAATCTGTCCGTCCAAAGTGGAGAAAGTGACGGCCTGAATTATCATTCGTCAGGGGTACGTTCTAGCAGCCTTTTAAGGGAAAACACCGGTTCCCCGTTGACTGCCATTGGTGGCAGCTTACAGGGTTCGGAGGGCAGCTTTGCGAAAGATAGTAGACAGCCTCCGGGGACGAAGTCAAGGCTGTCTAGGCAGCCTACGACACGCTCTCAGTTCACTCGACTTCCGCCGAAAGAGTTTGCAGAACTGCGGGCAAAAGGATTATGCTTTAGGTGCAAGAAACCATTTACACCATCACATGACTGTCCCTTTAAGCAGCTGCGGGTAATGATAGCTTAGGAGGATGAAGAGTTGGACCTCAAGCAACATGAATTCTGTGAAATAACCGGCCAGGAAAGTTTTCCGGAAAGAGAAGAAGGATATTTTCCAGTCTATACTATGTCTGGAAATTTCAGTCCCCGATCCGCAAGTTTTCAACCTTGAGGACAAGGTTATTTTAAGGGGGATGGATTGATATGAAGCGGGAAGAGCATGGGGCGGGACCGGGCTTGGGCCCACTTCCGTGGGCCGGTCACGGGCTGTCCTTATAGTTATTTATTATTTTTAAATTAATGTTATGTTTTGTTTTGGGCCTTTTATTAGTAGAGTACTTATTAGAGTTAGTATGGGCCTAATTAATTTGGGCTTGATTAGGGTTGCTTGTAGAAGGCTATTTATACCCCTTGACAGGGTTCATTCTTATTATCTTGGAATAAAAGTTGGTTTAGCCTTTTGGCTCTGGGCAACGGTATTTATTTATCGTTGATTATCTGGGAAACGGTTCACCCCGTTGATTTTTATTTTTCTGTTCTTATCAAATAGTCCCTACTTTTACATATTTACAAAAATAATCCCTACTATAAAAGTTCACAACAATAATCTCAACTAGTTAATTGTTTCACAAAAATAGACCGAAAGCTAACAGTAATTGAGTTTAAACTTATTTCTATTATAAATTAAATTTCATACTCATTATTTTTCATAAAATATTGTAGAAGTGTTGAAACACATACCAATCAAATTCTCTTTGATCTTTTATTTCTTTTCAATATTTTATTTGTATTCATTTTTTTTCATTATAGTAGAGATTTCAAAGTAGCTTGAGTAATACTACATCAAATATTAATACAAAGTATATGATAATTATTTTTAACTAAAACTTAATTCTATTGTAAATTAAATTTAATACTCATTAATTTTCACAAAATATTGTAGAAATGTTTAAACACATACCCATCAAATTCTCTTTTATCTTTTATTTAACATCAATATTATATTTATATTACATTTTTGTTTTTCATTGTAATAGATTTTCAAAGTAGCTTGAGTAATACTATATTAAATATTAATACAAAGTACTTCGTATTTGATAATTATTTTTAACTTAAACTTATTTCTATTATAAATTAAATATAATACTCTTTTTTCATAAAATATTGTAGAAATGTTTAAACAACACTAATCAAATTGTTTTTACCTTTAATCTCTGATCAATATTTTATTTATATTCATTTTTTTCATTGTAATAGAGATTTCCAAGTAGCTTGAGTAATACTATATTGCTCCCATCGTCCCAATATTAACTCTTCTTTTGACTTGGCACACATATTAAGAAAATGGGAAATGTGTAGCCTAAAGTTGTGCAGAGGAGATAGAAAGTGGGGATAAATATTGTGAGCCACACAATCTTTGCCAAAAAGGGAAAGAGAAGTTTATATTGGGACGGACGAAAAAGGAAAAAATGAAGATAATATTGGGATGGAGGGAGTAAATATTAATGCAAAGTACTTCCTCCGTTCTTTTTTAATTGAAACGGTCCACCTTTCACATTTGCCAATGCACAAGTTTGACCATCAATTTTTTTATAATTTATAATACATTAATAAATAAAACAGACTCTTTGGAACCGGACAAGATGGTCGGACGAGTTCTTAAGGCTAAATACTATCCTACATTCCTACTAGTACCTTTTTGGAAGCAAAGTTAGGAAGCTGTCCTTCTTTTGTTTGGTGGAGCATCCTTGCGGCGCAAGAGGTGGTGGCGGCAGGGTGTAGACGAAGGGTTGGTAATGGTAGATATATTTCTGTATTGAAGGAATCATGGCTCCCAGGAAAGGGGTCGGGCAGAGACGCAGAGTTAGTTCTGAAAGGCCACAAGGGATTATGGATATGAATGTTGCAGCCCTGTTACATGAAGATGGCAAGAGATGGAATGTTCAGAGAATCAATTCGATTTTCAATGAGGAAGAGGCTTTGCTTATTCAAAGTATTCCCCAGAGTATTAGACCGATAGAGGATGGATATGGCTGGAATGATAATTCCAAAGGGGGCAGCACACGGTTCGTAGTTGCTATAAAATACCGGTAGGAAATCTACAAGCTACGGCTTGGATGGGTTGGACTGCCGTTTGGGGTTTCCGGGTACCACCAAAAGTGAAGATATTTTTTTGGCAACTTGCTAGTGGAATTTTACCTACAGCTGATGTTCTTGGGAGACATTCAGGTTCGAAGTAGTTGTCCTATCTGTAATCAAGAGGACGAAACTGCAGCACATCTGTTCTTAAAGTGTTCTATTACACGCCTGGTTTGAGAAGGGTCAAGTATCAGTCAAATGGTGCAGGTGGATTCATTTAAAGATTGGCAACAAGTGGTCTTTGACAAGCTGGCTACTGATGGCTTACGCAAGGTTATTATGCTCCTTTGGCGAGCTGGAGAGCTGTGTGGTGTGGTGAGGCTTTTTCTATTGCAGGTGTGAAGCGTGCTGCAGAATCAATGTTAATGAGCTGGAGAGCTGCTCATCAAGGAAGTAGCAAACCTGGAGCTACTGGAATGTTGCAACAGGAGAAGAGATGGCAGCGACCGGAGGGAAATTAAATAAAAATCAATGTAGATGCGGCTTATAATGCGAGAACTGGAATGTGGGCTTGTGGCTGGATAAGCTGGGACTGTAATAGTAAT